TGGTGTACACACGGTCTAGAGTACAAGTTTAGTGTTGGACACCATCAGTTAATGTACAGCGTGGTGTACACACGGTCTAGAGTACAAGTTTAGTGTTGGACACCATCAGTTGATGTACAGCGTGGTGTACACACGGTCTAGAGTACAAGTTTAGTGTTGGACACCATCAGTTGATGTACAGCGTGGTGTACACACGGTCTAGAGTACAAGTTTAGTGTTGGACACCATCAGTTGATGTACAGCGTGGTGTACACACGGTCTAGAGTACAAGTTTAGTGTTGGACACCTTCAGTTGATGTACAGCGTGGTGTACACACGGTCTAGACCTGAGCTTGTCACGGCACTGAAGAGGGTAGGATTGTAGCTGGTGGCCATACCAATCAACAGGTCCTAACATGTGTAGGCAGTACGTTTGCAACAACATCCAATATGGCCATTGATGTCGACCAACGACAACATCGAATGTGGACATTGATGTCGACCAACAAACTGCAATTGAGAATTGTGTTATAACGAAAATCTTGAGATTTTTGAAAACTCCCCAAGTCACGCATCAACACGTCCTTCAGAACTTGAATAGCCAGGCGCGATCCAAACTCTCGCCCACATACACCCCACTCAAGGAAAAACTATATGGGGCACCCGCGGATCTGGTGACCACAGTCCAATTCATACACGAAGTTGGACTTGTTGTTTAAACCCTCCACCACAAACTAAATTAAGAACGCAGAAGAAGAAGAACGTTGATGCCGATCTCTATAAATGTACTAAAATGTATCGTCGAATGTAGCTGTCCCTTGAGAACAGGGTATACTCCCTGTACAGTTGAGATTACGCGGAGGTCATTGACTCGCTTATCTGTAATTTGTGCAATTGTTTTGATCCGTTGACAATAATGCTCTGGTGTTAGAAGATTTAAAAAAAACAAGCGCTTTACATACTATTGTAGAACACCATTGTTGTGGTGATTAGCTCTCGGGCCACTTGAATCAAAGGCAAAGTTAAGACACCTCTAAAGGTGTTTTTGTTGAGTTATTGATGTCAGCAGAGGTAGAGCACACAAAGAACCTTCGAATGGGTAAATGGCACTGACGCGTCAGTTTTAATGGAAACATAAATCTTCTCAGAGATCGTGACGTCTTGACAAGGCCAAACAATAACAAAAGGCAAGAAAAGGGAATAAAATTACAATCGGGTTTTAGAACAGGGTATACCTGTGTGAACGTGAAGGGGGGAGAATGGGGTGGAATGAATCATCGACTTAATGTCTGAGCTAAAGACACCTCTGGCTGTATTAGACTGGTTGAACTGTTCTGCAGGCTATCCCAGTAGGTCAGTATCTAATTACTCCCCAACCCACCCCTCCCCGGCGTGATGTATTAACGAACGACGTAATTGATTTGATATCAAGGTATGCACACTGGCGTTAACCAACGCATGCAAACAAACATTAATTCTCTTGGAAACTTCAACCAATTAAAACTTTGCGACTAAGACAAATGTAAACGTGTTTTAATGTTGGTACACACACGTTTGTATGAAATATCTTACTGCCCCATCTACTCGACTTGACCGCATTTGAGCGTGTACATTTTCATGCGTCAGATTCTTTGCAGAGAGCTCAAATAAGATCAGAGAGAATATCTTAACTTTGGGCACCTTTGTACGCTCAAGTTAGAAGACAACACATAGACTTGGAACAAGCCATTGAAACTATTGTAGCATGCGCCTCCCCGCCGCCCCTTTTTCTAATAGACAGAGTGATGAGAAGGGAAAGAAAGATGGCGGCCAAGGGGAGAGAATCGATTTGGAATTTTCTATGAAATAACAAATGTGATCGGTAGTGCAACTGTCAGTTTGGCTTCCGTCATAAAACTTGTTTTACTTCGCCATGACCTCTTTTTAAATGGTGACTGGTCTCTGTAACGTTTAAGGAGAGCAAGTGAATGCTAAAGCATTGATACACACCTTGGTGGATTTGACCAAGACCAGCCCTAAGTTTACACCCAGCGGTGGGCCACCAACCTTTGGTACCACACCACACCACAAACATCTTTACTGTTCCGTTAGGAGCGCCCATGATTTATTGCTTACCACCCAATGCTAAAAACTAGTCACCTTAGTGAGCATTATTTTAGGCTTTCTAAAATGTTCTATACTCTTGTCTTCTGTCTCTTGTTACCAGAGGTTTGTTGTGAATCTCATCCCTAAAGTGTAGACATATATGAACCTCCAGACAAGGCAGTTCGTGTTTACCTTTAACGTCCGTATCTGTGTGTAAGGTGTGCTGGTGAATGTCATTTCTTCACGATCCTGCCCATACTCCAGGGGGAACAACGACCCGCGCTTTTGTCTGCTTATGCTTATAGGACATTGACTGACATATGGGAAATAATGGCTAAACAATTAACATTGTAATTAGCTCGTGACTTGGGGATTACCAAGTTCTGCTGTTATTGACAGGTCTATTGTCATTTTAGTTTTCTATTTTGTTGTTGTTGCGCTAAGCTTTTCTTCTCCGCGGTTTACTAAGTTTCACCAAGTTTCTTTAGCAGAACAGTTTTTTGGCCAACAATTTTTTTGCGAACACTTTTTTGTTTTAGATTTCTATTTTATGAACATTGATTTATACATGTGGGGGTTAAGACAGAGGCACAACTCTCTTTGCCATTGCATTAAGGACGGAGATATGATTTGAGTTTTTGTAATTTTCTCGATACTTTCTGCCAATACTTTCTAGCTGTATTTATAACTTTAGTCAGTCCTGTTCCTAATGTTCTTCGAGCTACATCACATTATTTTTTGGGTAAATAATGTATTTCTTTTACCACCACATAAAAATGATCTGCCCTAACAAATCGACTATGATGTAAGATAATTGAAAATCAATTCGTTTTTATGACTCCCCTAGTTGGAGCTACTGAAGGATTGATCGCACCGGACGAACAGGTTGGTAAGTTATGACCAGCTACAAAGTGGACCCTAGTCGATATGCTCTCGGCTGGTCGTGATCTGACGGCACTTGAGAGCTAACTTGCCTCCACATAGTAAAACATGTGTCTCGGCCAGGTACTGTTGGAAGAGGGGGGGGGTATTCCAACGCCGAATGTTGACCTTTAGTTTGATACATGTCTCCTATTTTATGCCACGCTGTTTCCGTCACGATGCCTCTTTTTCACCTCCATGGTGACTGTACCCACCCGTTGACTGTTTGTACCCACACGTTGACTGTTTGTACCCACACGTTGACTGTTTGTACCCACACATTGTGACTGTTTGTACCCACACGTTGACTGTTTGTACCCACACATTGACTGTTTGTACCCACAAGTTGACTGTTTGTACCCACACGTTGATTGTTTGTACCCACACGTTGACTGTTTGTACCCACACATTGACTGTTTGTACCCACACGTTGACTGTACCCACACGTTGACTGTTTGTACCCACACGTTGACTGTTTGTACCCACACTGTGACTGTACCCACACGTTGACTGTTTGTACCCACACGTTGACTGTTTGTACCCACACGTTGACTGTTTGTACCCACACATTGACTGTTTGTACCCACACGTTGACTGTACCCACACGTTGACTGTTTGTACCCACATGTTGACTGTTTGTACCCACACGTTGACTGTTTGTACCCACACGTTGACTGTTTGTACCCACACGTTGGCTGTTTGTACCCACACGTTGACTGTTTGTACCTACACGTTGACTGTTTGTACCCACACGTTGACTGTACCCACCCGTTGACTGTTTGTACCCACACGTTGACTGTTTGTACCCACACGTTGACTGTACCCACACGTTGACTGTTTGTACCCACACGTTGACTGTTTGTACCCACACATTGACTGTTTGTACCCACACGTTGGCTGTTTGTACCCACAAGTTGACTGTTTGTACCCACACGTTGACTGTTTGTACCCACACGTTGACTGTTTGTACCCACACGTTGACTGTTTGTACCCACACATTGACTGTTTGTACCCACAAGTTGACTGTTTGTACCCACACGTTGACTGTACCCACACGTTGACTGTTTGTACCCACACGTTGACTGTTTGTACCCACACTGTGACTGTACCCACACGTTGACTGTTTGTACCCACACGTTGACTGTTTGTACCCACACGTTGACTGTTTGTACCCACACATTGACTGTTTGTACCCACACGTTGACTGTACCCACACGTTGACTGTTTGTACCCACATGTTGACTGTTTGTACCTACACGTTGACTGTTTGTACCCACACGTTGACTGTTTGTACCCACACGTTGACTGTTTGTACCCACACGTTGACTGTTTGTACCTACACGTTGACTGTTTGTACCCACACGTTGGCTGTTTGTACCCACACGTTGGCTGTTTGTACCCACACGTTGACTGTTTGTACCCACACGTTGACTGTTTGTACCCACACGTTGACTATACCCACATTGTGACTGTTTGTACCCACATGTTGACTGTTTGTACCTACACGTTGACTGTTTGTACCCACACGTTGACTGTTTGTACCCACACGTTGACTGTTTGTACCCACACGTTGACTGTTTGTACCCACACGTTGACTGTTTGTACCCACACGTTGACTGTTTGTACCCACAAGTTGACTGTACCCACATTGTGACTGTTTGTACTCCCCGCTGACTAGTGGTGTTATTAACTGTCTTTTCAAGTGTACACCTTATCCATCACCTTTCTCTTATTTTGCTCTCCGCTGTTTGTAACCCTCGCTGTTTGTAACCCTCCGTGTCTGAGCCATACAAATATAATTGGTCCTAAATAGTATAATGTTTTCTTAAACGATATATTGGAATTCCATATGGTTTAACGTTACTTTTGAATTCCATATTGGTTGAACGTTACTTTTGAATTCCATATTGGTTGAACGTTACTTTTGAATTCCATATTGGTTTAGCGTTACTTTTGAATTCCATATTGGTTTATTGTTGCAATTCTGATCTGAACTTCTAGGTCGGTATCGTTAGATGGACAGGTTTTTCTGGTTCTTCAACCAGAACAATGTTTGTGCTTTTGTTGTTGACTGTGTGAGAAGGCAAGGATCATCTGCAAAAGCCAAGTCTTCAAGAAATTTTGTTGGCTGGATTTCATTTCTTTTGTTTCCTGTAACTTGTTTCATTATTCAGTCAACCAAATATTGTCTCAATCCCATTTGTACCATACATTTTTCTAGTAACTTGCTATTGTGCATCATTTGGCATTTTGATTAGAGGTATAATTGTTGGATATGTGAAATAAATTTATCTACAGCTTCATAATGCTTCATACGTTTCCATACCTCTGCTCTGCCTACACTGTCAAATACTTTTTCAAAATCTATGAAAATAACATTCCATGTCTCCTCAATGATAATCCTTAGCAAGTGCTATATTAGAATATACCAGAAAGTTTAGGTGAGATCACTCCCACTTTATTTCTGTAATTTGAATTTAAAAAGGATAACGAATCCAAAATGGAATAAAATTTGCATTGAATAAATTGTTAGTAACTTTTTGAGTCTTGTAGGGGGCCGCTTCGAAATGGGTCACTACGCCTCTGCCTCCCTCCCTAAAATGACAATATAAAAAAATAGCTGCCATATAACCAAAGTTTTGTGTTTGCTTTCAGGCCAACAATTCCTACATTAGAGACCAGTGGCTCCATTCCATTCAGTGGAAAGTAAGTATTGTATATGTGTCTGATTGGTTGTTTATTTCTTCTGATATTACTCATTGATTCACATGTATGATTCGGAGCTTTAATAGATTCCTAAAAAGATACAGTTGTATACTTTGTTTGCAGAGACATATATTTAGATCAGATAGACTTCTTAAGACTGGAGCGTTAATAGATTCTTAAATAGATTCACTTGTATTCTTTGTTTGCAGAAACATATATTTAGATCAGATAGACTTCTTAAGAATGGAGCGTTAATAGATTCTTAAATAGATTCATTTGTATTCTTTGTTTGCAGAGACATATATTTAGATCAGATAGACTTCTTAAGAATGCCAGACGCCCTGAAATTCTAGTTAAAGAAATAAAGGTAAGAAACGTGATGTTTGTGAAGTATGTGTTGTCACTCCATAGAGAGTGTTGTGTTACTCCAGTAAGACAGCCAGTAGAGTGTGTGTTGTGTTACTCCAGTAAGACAGCCAGTAGAGTGTGTTGTGTTACTCCAGTAAGACAGCCAGTAGAGTGTGTGTTGTGTTACTCCAGTAAGACAGCCAGTAGAGTGTGTGTTGTGTTACTCCAGTAAGACAGCCGGTGAAGTGTGTGTTGTGTTACTCCAGTAAGACAGCCAGTAGAGTGTGTGTTGTGTTACTCCAGTAAGACAGCCGGTGAAGTGTGTGTTGTGTTACTCCAGTAAGACAGCCAGTAGAGTGTGTGTTGTGTTACTCCAGTAAGAGAGCCAGTAGAGTGTGTGTTGTGTTACTCCAGTAAGACAGCCAGTAGAGTGTGTTGTGTTACTCCAGTAAGACAGCCAGTATAGAGTGTGTTGTGTTACTCCAGTAAGACAGCCAGTAGAGTGTGTGTTGTGTTACTCCAGTAAGACAGCCAGTAGAGTGTGTGTTGTGTTACTCCAGTAAGACAGCCAGTAGAGTATTGTGTTACTCCAGTAAGACAGCCAGTAGAGTGTGTTGTGTTACTCCAGTAAGACAGCCAGTAGAGTGTGTGTTGTGTTACTCCAGTAAGACAGCCAGTAGAGTATGTGTTGTGTTACTCCAGTAAGACAGCCAGTAGAGTGTGTGTTGTAGTGAGTATCAAAATGGGAAACACTTTAGTACAGGCTTGTTATTATTGCATGTGGCATCAGTGGCTTCTGCTAGGAACCGGCCAAAACATTCTAATGGCTCACTCGCATTAGAAGCCCCGTGGTCTCATGTTGCTTGACTTGAAATGTGGAATCAAAGAATCAATATTGGATAAGTGCTGTACGTAAACAATCTGACGGGCCATTGTAGACTCCATCTCCCCGCCTTAATAGTGTTGATGGACGTTTCTTGAACCATGACCTTAATAGGTTTTGTCCACACTTGCTAGCACCGAACTTTTACTTTGTATGTCTGTATAAAACACCAAAATCAAGGTTCTCATTAATTTAAGCCTACTAGTGGCAGATGTCAATAACATTCATTAGGAACAGAAATCGTCATTAAAGGTTATTGTTTTATTACTATTGAACCGAGTTTTGTTCAAATATCCGCTTTTGTGGCACCATGCTTTCTTCCCCCCCCCCTCCCCCAAACAGCAAACATCCGTCTAGGTGAAAACAGTGGCTTGCACCAACACGAGTACAGCGTGGTGTACACACGGTCTAGAGTACAAGTTTAGTGTTGGACACCATCAGTTGATGTACAGCGTGGTGTACACACGGTCTAGAGTACCCTACAAGTTTAGTGTTGGACACCATCAGTTGATGTACAGCGTGGTGTACACACGGTCTAGAGTACAAGTTTAGTGTTGGACACCATCAGTTGATGTACAGCGTGGTGTACACACGGTCTAGAGTACAAGTTTAGTGTTGGACACCATCAGTTGATGTACAGCGTGGTGTTCACACGGTCTAGAGTACCCTACAAGTTTAGTGTTGGACACCATCAGTTGATGTACAGCGTGGTGTACACACGGTCTAGAGTACAAGTTTAGTGTTGGACACCATCAGTTGATGTACAGCGAGGTGTACACACGGTCTAGAGTACACGTTTAGTGTTGGACACCATCAGTTGATGTACAGCGAGGTGTACACACGGTCTAGAGTACAAGTTTAGTGTTGGACACCATCAGTTGATGTACAGCGTGGTGTACACACGGTCTAGAGTACAAGTTTAGTGTTGGACACCATCAGTTGATGTACAGCGTGGTGTACACACGGTCTAGAGTACCCTACAAGTTTAGTGTTGGACACCATCAGTTGATGTACAGCGTGGTGTACACACGGTCTAGAGTACAAGTTTAGTGTTGGACACCATCAGTTGATGTACAGCGTGGTGTACACACGGTCTAGAGTACCCTACAAGTTTAGTGTTGGACACCATCAGTTGATGTACAGCGTGGTGTACACACGTTCTAGAGTACAAGTTTAGTGTTGGACACCATCAGTTGATGTACAGCGTGGTGTACACACGGTCTAGAGTACAAGTTTAGTGTTGGACACCATCAGTTGATGTACAGCGTGGTGTACACCCGGTCTAGAGTACAAGTTTAGTGTTGGACACCATCAGTTGATGTACAGCGTGGTGTACACACGGTCTAGAGTACCCTACAAGTTTAGTGTTGGACACCATCAGTTGATGTACAGCGTGGTGTACACACGGTCTAGAGTACAAGTTTAGTGTTGGACACCATCAGTTGATGTACAGCGTGGTGTACACACGGTCTAGAGTACCCTACAAGTTTAGTGTTGGACACCATCAGTTGATGTACAGCGTGGTGTACACACGTTCTAGAGTACAAGTTTAGTGTTGGACACCATCAGTTGATGTACAGCGTGGTGTACACACGGTCTAGAGTACAAGTTTAGTGTTGGACACCATCAGTTGATGTACAGCGTGGTGTACACCCGGTCTAGAGTACAAGTTTAGTGTTGGACACCATCAGTTGATGTACAGCGTGGTGTACACACGGTCTAGAGTACAAGTTTAGTGTTGGACACCATCAGTTGATGTACAGCGTGATGTACACACGGTCTAGAGTACAAGTTTAGTGTTGGACACCATCAGTTGATGTACAGCGTGATGTACACACGGTCTAGAGTACAAGTTTAGTGTTGGACACCATCAGTTGATGTACAGTGTGGTGTACACACGGTCTAGAGTACAAGTTTAGTGTTGGACACCATTAGTTGATGTACAGCGTGGTGTACACACGGTCTAGAGTACAAGTTTAGTGTTGGACACCATCAGTTGATGTACAGTGTGGTGTACACACGGTCTCGAGTACAAGTTTAGTGTTGGACACCATCAGTTGATGTACAGTGTGGTGTACACACGGTCTAGAGTACAAGTTTAGTGTTGGACACCATCAGTTGATGTACAGCGTGATGTACACACGGTCTAGAGTACAAGTTTAGTGTTGGACACCATCAGTTGATGTACAGCGTGATGTACACACGGTCTAGAGTACAAGTTTAGTGTTGGACACCATCAGTTGATGTACAGCGTGGTGTTCACACGGTCTAGAGTACCCTACAAGTTTAGTGTTGGACACCATCAGTTGATGTACAGCGTGGTGTACACACGGTCTAGAGTACCCTACAAGTTTAGTGTTGGACACCATCAGTTGATGTACAGCGTGGTGTACACACGGTCTAGAGTACAAGTTTAGTGTTGGACACCATCAGTTGATGTACAGCGTGGTGTACACACGGTCTAGAGTACAAGTTTAGTGTTGGACACCATCAGTTGATGTACAGCGTGGTGTACACACGGTCTAGAGTACAAGTTTAGTGTTGGACACCATCAGTTGATGTACAGCGAGGTGTACACACGGTCTAGAGTACACGTTTAGTGTTGGACACCATCAGTTGATGTACAGCGTGGTGTACACACGGTCTAGAGTACAAGTTTAGTGTTGGACACCATCAGTTGATGTACAGCGTGGTGTACACACGGTCTAGAGTACCCTACAAGTTTAGTGTTGGACACCATCAGTTGATGTACAGCGTGGTGTACACACGGTCTAGAGTACAAGTTTAGTGTTGGACACCATCAGTTGATGTACAGCGTGGTGTACACACGGTCTAGAGTACCCTACAAGTTTAGTGTTGGACACCATCAGTTGATGTACAGCGTGGTGTACACACGTTCTAGAGTACAAGTTTAGTGTTGGACACCATCAGTTGATGTACAGCGTGGTGTACACACGGTCTAGAGTACAAGTTTAGTGTTGGACACCATCAGTTGATGTACAGCGTGGTGTACACCCGGTCTAGAGTACAAGTTTAGTGTTGGACACCATCAGTTGATGTACAGCGTGGTGTACACACGGTCTAGAGTACAAGTTTAGTGTTGGACACCATCAGTTGATGTACAGCGTGATGTACACACGGTCTAGAGTACAAGTTTAGTGTTGGACACCATCAGTTGATGTACAGCGTGATGTACACACGGTCTAGAGTACAAGTTTAGTGTTGGACACCATCAGTTGATGTACAGTGTGGTGTACACACGGTTTAGAGTACAAGTTTAGTGTTGGACACCATCAGTTGATGTACAGCGCGATGTACACACGGTCTAGAGTACAAGTTTAGTGTTGGACACCATCAGTTGATGTACAGTGTGGTGTACACACGGTCTAGAGTACCCTACAAGTTTAGTGTTGGACACCATCAGTTGATGTACAGCGTGGTGTACACACGGTCTAGAGTACCCTACAAGTTTAGTGTTGGACACCATCAGTTTATGTACAGTGTGGTGTACACACGGTCTAGAGTACAAGTTTAGTGTTGGACACCATCAGTTGATGTACAGCGTGGTGTACACACGGTCTAGAGTACAAGTTTAGTGTTGGACACCATCAGTTGATGTACAGCGTGGTGTTCACACGGTCTAGAGTACCCTACAAGTTTAGTGTTGGACACCATCAGTTGATGTACAGCGTGGTGTACACACGGTCTAGAGTACAAGTTTAGTGTTGGACACCATCAGTTGATGTACAGCGAGGTGTACACACGGTCTAGAGTACACGTTTAGTGTTGGACACCATCAGTTGATGTACAGCGAGGTGTACACACGGTCTAGAGTACAAGTTTAGTGTTGGACACCATCAGTTGATGTACAGCGTGGTGTACACACGGTCTAGAGTACAAGTTTAGTGTTGGACACCATCAGTTGATGTACAGCGTGGTGTACACACGGTCTAGAGTACCCTACAAGTTTAGTGTTGGACACCATCAGTTGATGTACAGCGTGGTGTACACACGGTCTAGAGTACAAGTTTAGTGTTGGACACCATCAGTTGATGTACAGCGTGGTGTACACACGGTCTAGAGTACAAGTTTAGTGTTGGACACCATCAGTTGATGTACAGCGTGGTGTACACACG